GTATTCTTTAAAAGGTTTTAATTTCCTTAATAAATTATATTAATGTTATTGGCAAATATTTGACAAAGTTTTTCATAATATTTTGATTATCATTCGTAACTAAATGTAGGATTGATGACAATTCTATAGGTTTCACAGTTGATCAGCTCATTTGAAAATACTCTTCAATGAGTCCTAATTGTAATTGTAATTAATTGTAATTTAATAAATTTATATGCCACCCAATCCCGTAGGACTCCGGGCGGCTTACAACATACAAGACTAAAAAGATAAAAGTTAAAAAAGGGAAAGAGAAAACAGATTTAAAAGCAACACACCATACACTCAGTCTGGGTGGGGCTGGACTTCGTTCATGAGGTCAACAGCCCCAGGCCTTCCGGAATAGCCAGGTTTTAGTGCTTTTCGGAAGGCCGAGAGAGTGGGAAGGGTCCGGATCTCGGCGGGTAGATTGTTCCACAGGGTCAGAGCAGCTACAGAGAAGGCCCTCCCCTGAGGGGCCGCCAGCCGGCATTGTCCGGTCGATGGCACCCGGAGAAGGCCCAACCTGTGAGATCTTATCGGCCATTGGGAGGTATGTGGCAGGAGGCGGTCTCGCAGAGTCCTCATACAAACACAAAGTTTTAAGGTGGTTGTCACAGATTCTGATCAAGAAGACATATTCTAATTGAATGTTTTCTAACAGTAAGGAAATAACAGAAACAGTTTGGCAGGAACTAATTAGAGAAGTGATGGGTTTGCCTTTACCCAATGTATTGAATTAGCACCTGGATTAATCAAGGGATTGGGGTAGTTTTGAATGGATCCTCCAATTTTGTTATTCTAATTTGTGTTTCACTATGTTATCGTGCAGGAGAGATAGCTTTTTGTGCTTGTATATGCTTTTGTTTGTTGGGTATGCGCATTCATAATATGCCTTTTTGTGCATATTATGAAGGTTTTTGGGTTTTTTGTTTGTGCATTACAAGTACATAGTTTTATAAGAATGCAGTCTGGGATGGGATATTTCTGGGGATATTTCTGGGATGAAAACTTTGGGGAAAAGTTCAGCAAATTGTGCAATCTTTCCAATTTTTTATCCAATTCTAACATATGTTTGGAATTACATTTGTTTCTAAACTTATGTAGTAATATTTCAAACATTAGAAAAGGTTGTAATCAGTAAGCATAGGCTATTTAAGTATAAAGAGACAGATGAAACTTAAAAAATCTGTTAAATATTAATGCTCTTAGAAAATGTTTGTTTTACTATATTTGCAAATCCCTTATTTTCCGTTTTCAGTGTTAGTTCTAATCCTATGTGTATAACATAATAAATTTAAAGCTACAGTACATTACTATTATGAGAATAAGCCATGCTGAGCTCTTTTTTTTGGTATGGCTTTGCAAACAAGAGGACATCAAAACTTCAACAAATCAAGATCAAACTTTGATAATAAATACTGTACAATACTGTAGAATAAATTATACAATAAACATAATATTTCAGATTTTATGTAACAGGAAATTATAGCTTATATGTGGCAGAAGACAGATTCTTTCAATCCTTTTATGAAAGACAATGGAGAAAACAGACGTAATGTAAGCACTACTATATATGGGTTGCAAAAACTGGATAGTCACTTGATGATAGCAAAACGATATGAAATCCTAACTCTTTACTATTTAATCCAGATTTGTAGGTGCAGATACAGTAGTTGTAAGTAGCAGAAGTCGAAGACTTGCTGCAATACTTTCTTAGAGTGCGACATGAGTTTTAAATCTGAATAGGTCCAAGATTGTAATGTATATTATTTTCTTAATATTCTAAATTAGTTGAATAGAATGAAAATTGTACTTTGCGTATCTATGAATTTAACCTGTGAACTGACTGTCAGGATATGCTTGTGCAATTCTTTGTACTATTGCTATATTTATTCAAAATATTTCTATTACCATTCTAAAATATTTGTAGGGTTGTTCTGCTTCTTATAAATACCTTTTTATTCTAGTGATGTCGTTTTTCATAAAGGTTTTTATAAGATTTTCTAAAGTAGCTAAAGCTTATTAAAGATTTCCTGGGGAATCTTAAAATCCATTTTAAACACATTTAAATGTCCAGGTTCACATAGCAAGTAAATATTTATTATGTATTTATTCGTTACAAATAAAACAAAGAATGAGTGATATAATTCTACAAAAACTGTTTTCTAAAACATATTAAAATTATTTTAAAAACACATAGAATTGCAGATGAAATGTAAAAAACACCATATATCTATATCTATATAGTGATGTGAATGAATATATATATAAAGCACAAATATAACACACACACACACACACACACACACACACACACACACACACACACACACACACATATATATATATATATATATATATATATTCATGAAATAGATCTTCTCTGTTAATGTATTCAGCAGTTCAAGTACTATCGAATGTAAATGATGAGGTGATATTGATGAAAGGAGGGATTGAGGTCTCGGGGGGCGCTGATGACGGATTGAACAGAAGCGCCCTTGCACTGCACGTAACTCAAGTCTGTCGTCTTCACTACTCAAAGCCATAATGGAAGGTGGCAGTCTGAAATGAGTTGCCACGGCAAAGAGTATTATTTTTGAAATGCTTTCACACAAATCACTAGGCCCTGCATACAACTTAGTTTCATGCTTTAATGTCATCAGGAGGCACAAATTGGTGTGTCTAATTGTTTGCCACCTGCCAGCAAAATGAGCTGCCAGCTAGCCAGACGGGTTTGATTGTCCGTCAGCTTTACAATAGATTGAGAGTGACAACATCAAAAATTTCACTTCAAACTCTGAAGCTTTGAGCAGCTTTTAAGAGACCTCTTCCCCACAAGTGCTTCTGGACAACTGCATTTTCCAATCAGTTTCAATATATCCCTGCCTTCTGTCTCATCTGTCCTAAGGTGTAGCTGTAATTATATCAAAAACTATATAAACAGATTTCTTTGGTCCTAGACTCTTGATTCAAAGTTATGATTCCAATATCACGTGAAAACAATATATGTAGTGGTATTTGCATCAGCACAAGCAACTGATTATTTGCTAGTGGCTATGAAAATTTTAGAGTGAAAGTGACATTTTTATTTATACTATTTTAATATGTGTTAGATATTTTGCTATATATGGAAATACATGGAAAGACATTCATAGATTAAATATTTTATTTTCATTTTTAAAGCAGTTCTTATTTACAAATTTATCTTTAGTGCATTAATACATTGACTATAAAACTCTGAGATTTAAAATCTTCATTACATAGCAAGAATTCTAGTAAATTGCTTAATATTAACTACCCTTAAAAATGTAGAACTGCAAGGCCTGTGCATATAAAAGCAAGTTAAATTCCCCCCGAAAGACATAAACACGAAATTTTTGTTTTAAATTTATCCTTTCTCCCTGCCCCTAGCCACTTTTAAAACTCTCCTGATTTTAGTAAAATAGATTGATCATAATTTACTCTGTCCAAAGAAACAATCAGAAAAAAAAATTGCTCTGTAGTTTCTTTTAGGTAACTGTTGCCTAAAATCTCAAACACCAGGATCTTTTTAACAGAACAGAAGATGCAGAAGCTGTCCGTGGTGAAAATACTAGCTTTTAGATGAAATAAATGTTAGGACAGTTTTTTGGTTTGTTTTTTGTTTCAGTATTTAAGTTCTATAATTTGATATTTGTTGTTTAAAATGTTTAATTAAAATGTTTGATGTTTGAGCTTGATATTCCGTAAATTTCATGCTATTAACATTGTTTTAAATTACAGGTATTGAGGATATTCTAGTTAAATGACACTGTTATTCTGCTTTAGTTTCACTTATTATTTGCATATGACCCATTCACAGTCTTTTCTACTATCAGCCATTGACTTTCTCTTTGCTGTTAACTGTGCTTTTCTACTTCATGGTACCAATAATATAACTTTATTTCTTTGTTCTCCATTGGGTGATGTCCATGTATAATGGACCATTTTGTTTGTTTGAAGTGTTAGCAATGAAAAAGATCATTGAATAGGCAAAAACTTTGCTCCCCCCCCATTTTCTAGATCATATAGTACAACTAGGTTTTCTTGTTTCCAACCTTAGCTTTCTAATCTACGATCAAAAGCAACATATCTTGCTTGCTTTTCTCTTGATTTCTGACTGAACTTGACCATAAAACCCATCAATCTCCTACTCTTCTGCATGAGTGGTTAGAGCACAAAATTGGATAAACATGATATTAAACGGTTGTCCATTAAATTTAATTGATATTATTCAGTCACTGACTACATCATACCCAAGTAGCATCTTTCAAGCAATACTGCTCATTCTGTTTTTTCTTTTCAATTTGATTTTGCTGCGGATGTCATTGTGCATTTTTCTTTACATGGATGTTCCCCGTGTTCATGCTTCTTATATTCCATGTTTCCTCTATAGTTGTGTTTTTACAATGTTCAATTTACTTTTCTTTCATAGCAGCTTTAGCAACTAGACACCTGGAAGGCTAATATGCTGGCTGCATCAATAAATCCATTAGAACCCAGCTATTCCTTAGAACCATCTTCAGTGCCATCTGATTAAGGGGCTTATCATCAGGCACTATAGGGTCAATACTTAATCTTGCCTATCTGTTTAGTTTTTGGGGAATAAAATACAGAAGTGGTTTTCCTTCGCCTTGTACTATATATCCTCTCTGTTGTCCCTAAAGTGATCATCTGCCTCCAGCATTTTCCTGGAGGGATGACTTTCATATCTTGGAAAATATTGCTGAGAGTATATACTCCCGGTGTACTTTCCTGGTATCCTTGTTCATCCTTCCTGGGAAGACTTCTCATTCCACCCCTGATAATATACCCATAGCAGGATTTGAGGGGGTGTTCTTTTACATTTCTCTGTTATTTCTGAAATTCTCTCATTAAATGTCTCAAACGCTGTCTTTCAATCCTTTAGTCCACAAAATATGTAGCTTAACAATTTAGTTGTCTTATGTTGTCTTCTGAATTTTATCTTTGTTAGATCATACAAATTATATTGTAATTACTTCTTATGATTAACCTTTCTGTATCTATTTATTACACGTAATGCATAAGGTTCATATTAAAGATGTTACAGTAATATAATATTATGGTACTGCTGAAATAAATAATTTTACTGATTTTATGTAAATGTATTATTGTAATATTTGAAGAGATGAGTAACAACTCCATAAACAGAAGTAATAACATAAAAAGGCTATCAGATCCGAAATGCAAAAATCAGGATTAACTAACAGCATTAAGAGCTTTTTCATTCTTTTTTTCTTGGCTTTTAGTGGTCATCTGGATTTTTTGCAGTCCTGATCAAGTAGCCCTAAATCAAATTACTATTGAGATCATTTCAGAGTTAAAGTTACATTGTCATATTACCCGAAAAAATCAGAAACATTTTATGATTTTAATGGATATGAGTTGAACGATGAAATGTGACTAATTTTAGAAATGACTTTATATTTTAAATGGTTTTAATTACTCCATATATATATATGGAGACAGACAGACAGACAGAAAGCCATTATTTTTACTGTTGCCTTTGTTACATTTGTGTTGATAAATAAATAAAGGGAGACTAGTATAGATCTATTTAAAGCTATGTAGCTCTCGTCAGCTAGCCATACCCTTACTAGGATTCGAACATGGGCTGTATTACATATTAGGCAGTTGTATTAGCCACTAGGTCACAGGCTCTCCTCCTTTATCAGCTAAGCCAGGGAAATAGGTATGTATTGGGTCACAACCCCTGGTATGCCCAAATATAAATAGGTAGTATGCTTCCTCCCATATTTATACACACACACACACACACACACACACATAAATACACACACATGTGTGTGTTTGTGTGTGTGTTCTTTCGTTTAATTTTTGTATCTGTTTTCTTCCTTTTTAACTTTATATACACTTTGTTTGTTTTGATGATTTATCTTTGTAATAATAATAATAAATTGATTTCTTCCTCCAGTGTATGAATAGGAAAGAAGAAAAGCATTTTTTTCTGATTTTGCACTGATTTTTTCCCCTCTGTAGAAGTGTTGTAGTTCCAGTGAAAAAACCTCCCCCTGGAAGTCTAGCAGTCACCACTGTTGGAACTACCACAGCTGGAGGTGGGCTACCACCAAGCAGTACACCAAATATATTTGCTGCCACAGGAGCTACCCCAAAAAGTATGATAAATACAACAGGTATTATCTTTAGATATTTTTGTGAATTTTGTCTTTGTCTTTCTGTTTTTTTTCTTTGCTTTTGGTATCTTTTTTACATTTGAAATCCTTTTGTAATAAATATCTCTAAGCATTCTCACTTCCTAATGTGTAAATTGAAAAGATCTCCAGAAAATTTATCTTCTAAATCAACCAATTCAATTAGTGGTTCAAAAAAGGGAAAATTGTTGAAGGACATCAACATTATAAGCTTAATCTGCTAGGTGGAAATTCCCCTAATGTTCATCAGCAGTCCTTGATTTTTTTTTTAAGAATTAGTTCATAGAAATAGAATTCAATAGACTAGATATCATTTTAAAATATTTTAGAAGAGATATTTAAAATCTTTTATGAAAAATTATCTAGCGGAAATGATTACTAGAATGACCATATTCTTAAAAAAAAAACCTTGTCCAACATGGCAAATGCTTAATAAGAGGATAACTCATCAAGGATACAGCTCATAGATTTCAATATAGCTGTAGTTTATTGCTTTCTGTATGGTGGTTGCATAGGTGTACATGGTATCATTTGTACGCAACATATTTTTGTTTTCATCTTTTCTACTGTATATATCACAAACATATACCAACATCTGCTTATAGTAATTTGGAACATGTTTTTCAGAACATGCCATTTATATTTCTTTGAGATTTTTAGCGAGATATACTCAGAAGAATGACTAATTTACTGAAAGGTATAAATGTCATGTTATTGGTTTATGGAGGTCAGAGACTTCCACATGTTCCATTTTTATTTCATTAATACTAGATGATACTAGAAATGCTTACTGCTGTTTTCATCTGGTAATTTTTAAGAAGATAATGTCTTAGCCTTGAGTTTATAATTACTGTTTGTTTAAATCACCATAATGGATTTGACATTTGGTTCAAAAAGGATATATGTGTTTGTATCTTTATGAAATATATTTGTGAAGTCTAGTTATACAACTTTTTAAACAGTTGGATTGTAAAATATATACGGGCAAGACATTCTAGATGATTTTCTCCTATAATTTAAATAATTTGGTCACAGGGTTTTTTCATACATAATCATGAGAGTACTTGAAAACAAATATCTGTACTATAGCATATTGGAGTAAAGTTAAGAAAAAAGAATGAATGATTTTAACTGAATTTTGGACTATCCTCTACTGGATAAATTATTTTAATTTATTTAATTCAGTTTTTAATTATTAATTGCCAGATCTTTGAAACCGAGAAATGTTGTCTAAAAGTAATAGCACTCCAAAGTTATGATACATAGAAAATATGATTTACTGTGAAGTTGATGCATTGCTTTTCAGACTGAATATACTCTATTTTGGTGGATAGGTGCAGTGGATTCAGGATCTTCATCATCATCGTCATCTTCTAGTTTTGTGAATGGTGCTACTAGTAAGAATCTCCCTGCTGTTCAAACTGTTGCACCAATGCCAGAGGATTCAGCTGAAAGCATGAGGTATACTTTATTGATTACTATGGAGCCGGATAAAAAAAAATGAAAGGCATAGAACTTGCTAGAAAAAATATCTTTGTAAAGGTTTCTAGATTTTTGAAATAAAATGTACTGTCTTGGGAACTCATTGAAGTACAAACATGGACTATAACCATATTACTTGTAACCATCTAACCATAATTAATATATTAATAATCATATTGTTGCTTCATTTTTTTCTCTTATAGAAAACATTGCTGATGTAAATATATAAATGTAAATATAAGAATACCCTGCTGGTCTTTTGAAAGACCTTGAAAAACATGGTTTTGCAATTCACTACGGCAATCAGGGAATGTAGCATAGCTGACAGATTGGTTGTATTGAATGCTATTGTTAAATCTGATTGCCTCAACTATTTTTTATGATGGTTTTTATGTTATCTTTTTAAAATTGTTCTATTCTATTTTCTTCTTTTTAAAACATTTGTTTTAATTGTTTGTAAGCCACCTACAGTCATATATATGAAATGGATGGCTATACATATTTGAAAAAATAAATAAATGCAATTTTTGAAATAAAAAACATACACTACAGAAGAGATTTTATTTTTTTTAGACAGGATTTACACATTTTCTGAGGAAAAATAATTTCAAGTATTACTATCCACCTATAACCTTTTACAATAAAGTTTACAATCTTAAATTCCTGAAATATAAATTCAAAATTGTAAAAATGAGTTGAATTACAGTAGCAACAACCTAATCGTTACAATGATATCGGAGTAACAAAAAAACAATTAGGTTTTGCAGTACCAAGGAGGCATTACATCAAATTGTAATCTGGCCAGGAATTCTATCTTAATGATTCCGGTTTGACAATTTTTTTAACACTGAATCACTAATTATACATTAGATACGCCTTTAAAAAAGAAATTGATCCAATTTTAATTTTAAATGAGTTTAAAAGATACATCTTTTATTTATGTTTTGCTTTCTCTCAGTCTGACATTTCCCCCTCTGGTTGTTTGTATGGCTATATTTCAGAGACAGAATATGGATGGAGGGTAAAAGTTAAATTATGTCAAAAATATGAATTGAAGAGATTACTTATGATGATAGTCCTTCTAAAGAGTGAATATATTGGCAACCAGTTATGGAATTTTCTGCATTAAAGTAGACTGGATAAATATTTTCATAAAATTATTTAATATTAGGGATAATGTTTGATTTATAAGAGATTGAGCTAAGATAAATAACCATATTTTTACCTTTAATTGTGGGAAGTGGTACATAAACAATGGAGGTTGTTTTTTCCATCCAGTAAATTGTATCTATGTTGAGATATTTAGATCTTTATAATCAGATTGCAAAGAGATAGAATTTGTTCTCCATTTTATATAATTTGGATAATGTGAGAAAGCTGATTGACATCTTTTTCACTAAAATATAATATTAAACTTAAATCTTTGCTTGTTTCATACTATTTTGAGTGTTGTAAAAGAGCAGCTATTTTTTATTCATCAAAGCTGAATTTCAGCTTTGCCAAGAGTATGAGTAGATTGGATATCCAAGTTTATTGTTTCTTGATGCCTTTTAAAACAGGCCTCCAAAAGTTATGGATACTCCATCACTGGAGTTTTGAAGAATCCTTTATTTGGAATAATATAAGATCTTCTGCTTGAACAGGAAGTTGGATTAGAAGACATGTAACATTCCTTCCAACTCTATTCTAACTTCTAATGCCTCATCTTCACAACTGGGTTTTTCAGTTATTCATGAGGTGCCTTACTAACTTTTGTTCTGCAAAATTCTGCAATTTTATAACTATATTTATGCAAACATTACAAAAGATGAAATGTTGTATAGCTCTTCCATGATTCACAGCATGGCGTATTTCTGGTTTGAAAAAGGACCATTGAATTCAGTGTAAGATTTTAGTCTTGGAATGTTTCTTTGTAGTTGCCAGTGTTTCAGAAGTTGGGTTTTATATGAAATATTATTTTTCATAAAAGGCTTTTCATTTTCTTGCAATTTCTATAATGCATCTACACATAGTTTAAACAGTAAAATTTTAAAAAAATTACTAATTTTATATTGCTAAAATCTTTTTCCATGTCTCCAGAGATAATTTAAATCTGTTGAGCAATATACTCTGGGTAGAAAACTATTTCTCTACAAGAAGAATTTTAGGGAAAAACTTCAATTTTTAATGTCACATTTATATTAAGAATATACGTAACCTTTTAAAATATCTGCTGTGGGATGTCAGGAGTCAGCATAATCCTTTCCTCTCTCCTTCACAGCTGCCTTGTAGCATTTCTTGTTAAAATGACAGAATGATTTCGTGAAAGCATTACTAGGAAATAAATGCCATAAGAGAAAAATCAAATACTTGTAATGGCCAGTGTTATAAATGTGCTTTTGACCTATATTACACTGATCATTATCACCTTTTGATTATTACAACTCTCCCCCTGAAAGGCAAAGGGAGAGTTCTAATAATTAAAAAGGGTGGAGGTTTTTCTCTGTTCTCTCTGTTGAGTTGCTAATATTTGAGGAGGAGAATAGCATTTTGTTGAGGAAAATAAGAGGAAAGGAAATGTTGGTTGAACTGTTTTGGACAAAATCCAGCTTGTAAACAGTTTGGAACAGTGCTCCTGTAAGGCTGCATACTGTAGTGTCACAAGGCTTTTGGATGAGATTAAACAATAGAAAATGATCTTAAAAGAGGAAGTAAGAAATCAGTGTTTTTTCTGCTTCCTTGGAAATGCATTAGAGGGACAATTTGTATGCCTCTTTTACCACCTAGATAGCTAGCATTAAACATTGACTGATTTAACAATTCATTTAATCCTATAATTTACTGATAGCCAACTGTGCTGTAAAATTGTAATCCCTTCCCTTTCCTCAGTCTGTGTTTTGAACCTTTGTATTCTTAGTAGTGGTTCTAACTGCTTTAACAATTTAGAACTGCAAATTGGTGTCTGGATATGGTAGGTATATAAATCTGTACAGAAACAGCACAGACTTGAGGCATCAAAAAGATTAACTAATGAATTATATCTTAAACATTCTTGGATTACAATTTGCTTAATCCAAATATTTTGATAGATTTATACCAATGCAATTTCTTTTTACTGGTAATCTAATATGTCAGTCTAGGGGTTCTCAAGCTGACAACTAGCTTGTCAAGCACAGAAAGAAAGAAACCCTGGAGCTTAGTCTAGAGAGGCTCAGGTTGTGCGTGTGCTGGAATAGGCAAACCTGTACCTAAGGAAATTCAACTCTGGGCTCCCAGAACAAAATACAAGTTTCTTTTCTGACCTGCCAGACCTAACTCCATTATACCACACCCGATCAGCTCTGGGCCCATAGACTTTCCCCTAGTTAGGCAGGTGTGTAATCAGGCCTAGTGTAATCCAACAGTTTTATAGAATGATCCCTAAACTAAGCGTTTGTTTGTTTTGTTTGTTTGTTTGTTCAATTTGTGTGGCTGACCATCCCAGTCAGAAACTTTGTGAGACTTACAATTCAGAAAATATGTAATGATTAAAATAAAATAAAATAAAATAATAAAAGCAGTAAAACCTATACATTTTTTAAAAAACATCCAATTCAACCTACACAAGAACAGGATATTTGGCCAGTTAGCAATATAGGCAGGAAATGGGCTCTTAACACATTTAGCCCCCCCCCCCCTCCCCAGTTTGGGAGAATACCTGGTTTTTAGATCCTTAAGAAAGGCTAATAGACCTTGAGGCCATTCTGATCTCTGACAGGAGGATGTTCCATAAATCAGAGGCTACTGCAGATTTTGGGCAATGAAGTCTTTATGATATATTTTAGGGCCAGGTGATTTGAAATATCATAGTTGTTGTTATGTACTTTTGTTGTTATGTACTTTTTGTATTTCATTAGAAGTACAAAGGGATTTCTCCAGGCAAATAAAACCAAATTCTCTGTGATGAAATTCTCTCTTTTTTCCCACAGCAGAGGGGAATATTTTACTTAGGCAGACCTTTTATGAAAAAGCTATATTGGCTGTGAAATTAGTTTTTAAGTAAGCAAATATGATTTATTTTGAAGTTGTTTTTAAGAATGTGCCTTATGTTTCTTCAGTTTGTTGTTGCCTATTGGAAGCTAAGAATAATATTTTGTATGGATAATATGAACGTGATACAGAACATTTAGAGATCAAAATACACTTGTGGGAAGTAATAATTTAAAATTGTATGCAAAAATGTCTAGAATTGTTCAAAAGTTTAAATGAGGTTTCTGTGTTGCTTTTAAACAGATCTTAATAATTTCATAGATATACAGTAGTTGATTGCTCTAGATTTGCAGATTTTATAACTCTTTATAACAGCAATGCAGTACAAGAAAAGGGAAATAAAAATGAGTATAGTATAGTTGCCTTGTTTCATTTCTCTAGTGGGAATATTCCAGTGGATAATAATTTGCTTATGGAAAAAGCCCTTCTGTTGATGAACAGTTCTCTCTGAATTCAACTTATTCTACCAGAATTTTGGGGGGAGGGGGGGTGGATGGCAATTTTAGACGTAAGGAATTTTCACACTTCCTAAAACTCACCCACAACCTCTGCTAGCCCCTCCCCTCAGCATCCACTGAAGCCTCAACAGTTCGTCTATATACCCCTCTCCTTGCAACACCCACACATTTCCCTTCACTCCTTACCTAGGACTCCTGCATCTTCCCACATAATAACTTGCATAGTCCTGAGGTTAATACAGCAACTGGGACTGTTGGAATTGCCGTTGCTAAGTGATGTGGTCACAAGATATCACCCTTTATGACAGCATAGCTCAGTGACAGAAATTCCAGTCCCAATTGCCATTCTAACCTGAGGACTACATAGGAGCTATGCAGTGACAAACCCAGACTGTGCCAAAAAACGAAATCACCAAGAGTCAAAATCAATTTAAAGCAGACTTTACCTTCATATTATAATATGTTTTGTAGGGGATACGTTACCCTTATGAAATCTGTGAAAACTGGGTATACTAGTTTCTGACTGATTCATTAGATACAAAGCTTTATGACACTGTCCTAGTTCAAATTATGTTACTAATTATTTTATCCACCTACTTTAAACGTCTTTGGATTGCTTTATGATAACTTTATTTGCCTCACTTACCATGCTTTGCTTTCAACAGCATAACCGCGAAACTTGAAAGAGCTTTGGAAAAAGTGGCTCCTCTTCTTCGGGAAATCTTTGTGGATTTTGCCCCATTCCTATCTCGCACATTGTTGGGCAGTCATGGGCAAGAGCTCCTAATAGAAGGTAATACATATTCAGTACTTATTTTATTATTTCTTTACATTTTGAACTAATTTTTATTACAGTCAAATGCCAACCATATTAACTATTCACAAACAGATTAAACATATAGACATAATTCCATACACTTTCTTTATAGAAAAAGGCCATTTTATAGAAAAAAAAATGTTTGCAATGTCATGGAGAGTAGAAATTACTTTCATTCCTATCTGATTCATAAGTGAATAATTTGAAGGAGAACAAGCCTTTTGTAACTGCTTCCAAATTCATTTAATTGTTCAGTTAGGTTGCCCAATGTGTTCCATTTTTGCTAAACATCCAAAGTTAGTATCTCAATAGCATTGTGCTTTTTCACCTTCTAAATGTATTTTGTTCAACTCAAGTGGTTTTTAAAGACCATTATTTATAGCATGGGTATTTAACAAACCTATTGATAAACCGACACTTGATTTTTATTGCCTTGTGTCAAGATGTACAATCTGTGTGCACATTCTATTTTCTTAATGGATAATCAAAACTGAAATATTTTCTTTGGAATAATATTTCTTCTTACCCTTCAGTTTTCAATATCAGTACCACTGATATGTATCACTGTCCACAAGTTGTATATGTTAAAAGATCTGTATATTCAGATGTCTTAAATTGTAAGTTTGACTATTGACATATTTCCTGTTTCATATATCTTTAATAAAGATATTCCACTTGGTGTCACATTTTGCTTCTTCTTTCTCTTATCATGAGAAATTGGTTTGGTTTGGACTGTCCATCAATACATATTTTAATTCTTTGGGATTTGTAAGAAATAGCTCCCTTAAGACATATATAAGATTAATCAATATGTTATATTAACAAGGAATTTGGCTTAATTAAATATTTGAGACAAGTTAAATTACACTGGACAACAAAGTTTGCTTTCTGAACATTTTGGGGTGTATCTTATAGATTTTTTGCTGCTAATCATGAAAATAAGCTGTAATTTAACGTATCACGTAATGTTTTATTGAAATATTCTGTTTTTACACCATGGCAATGTATACTCTTTAGTACCTGTTAGCTATGTTGCACACATGGAAGAAAAATACAGAAACTGTTGTTGAAGCACATCCAGTATAACAAGTACAACTGGAATATTAAAAGCAATGATCTACTGCTTGGAGTGCAGCTTAGATATGCCGAAAACTCTTGTTACATATGTGAATGGGACAGACATGGACGAGAATCATATTACATTAACAAGAAATGGCCACACTGAAAGAATTTGGTTTCAGGACAGAAAAAAGGCACATACGGCATTTGATGACCCAACCAAGATATTTTTGCCTTTGCTTCATAGAAAACTCAGACTTTTGAAAAATAATGTAAAAGCGATGAACAAGAAAGATGAAGGTTTTGTTATTTGAGACAGATATTTCCAAGAATAACTGATGCCAAGATTAAGGAAGGCATTTTTGTTGCTTCACAGTTCAGACACATCATCAGGTTTAAAGATCTGTTAGTGGAGCCAGAGAAAATCACCTGGAAGGCATTCAAGGATGTTGACAATTTTCTTGGCGACCACACAGCCTCAAACTGCATTCAGCTGGTTGACAAATTTCTAATAATGTACACACCATGAAGTGCAGCATGTCACTGAAGTTTAATTTTCTGCATTCACACTTAGACTTCTTTCCTGAAAATCAAAGTGTAATTAGTGACAAGCATGGTGAAAGATTTCACCATGTCATTACCACAGTGGAAAAATGGTATCAGGACAATGGAATCTATCATTGCTGGTTGACTGTTGTTGGGCACTGTGGTGAGATACATCGGACACAATCAGCTGTAAAATATTTTAGCCCTGCTGAACTGATGTAGCATGTCAGAAACATTGTGTGATTAAATACATTATAGTACCTACATTACAGTTTAATTCATATTTCAAGATTGGTACATGATACAGTCATTCTGAAATTATATTCATGTTCATTTTGAAGGAGTCGATCATAATCACCAAAAGTTTTTCAGGAAGCAACATGTTTGAAAAAAATTGTTATCAAATGTTAGAAGTTAAAAGAAAAAAGAAAAATAAGCTCCAAATATTTTGCAAATAAATAAAATACAAAAACACTACGTTGAGAGTACAATATAGATGTAAATAAATGAAAGCATCACATTTCACTGTACCGTATTTTCTTTTGGAAAACCAAAAGTTATTCAAAATAACAATATAAATCTAAAAGAAAAATAGATTAAGCCCAACAGGGGTTTAAAATAAATCAGCATTCAGCCAATCAATCAAGTTTTAAAGATAAAAAGCAAAGTGAAACAAAATAAAAAATAAAAAAGTGAAATTAAAACCCAGGCATGCTTAAGAAAATGAACTACCAAAAAGATGATGGATAACCAATGACTTTCTGACCACTCCCACAGAGAACTGGAATCTTCAAGACTCCCCTTCTCAGGTGGATTCATAGCTGTCCAAAAGCTGCCTTGGTCTTTCCTAAATGCTCCCATTCAAATACAGGGAGCAGCACTTCCAGAAAACCAGCGTTGGCAGCAAAATGAGCAGAACATCAGCAAGAAAAAGAGATTTCTGCCATTCCAGCAGCATCTTGGGGTGGAGTCTTGAAAGCTGTTTTAAATCGTTTAATGAAATGATAAATGACTGGAAAATATTCAGATGCATGTAGCTCTGGATAAATTAGATTCACAAAAGGAATGTGATTTGAAAGCAGGATCAGAAACATAGACTTAGAACCGAGTTGATTGCATATGCCTTCTTAAGTTCAAGCTTGCATTTTTTTACAACAGCAGAAACTTAGTGGAGAAGTGATAAATTGGCTTTCTTTAGGAGGATTGAAAGGCAATGGGGAATGGATTGATCACTTAACTGGAAAACAATTTCATTTGGACCATTTTGGGGAAGATTGACTGAACAAATTTAATTGAAATAGACTGTCAAATATGGAAATCAGGAAACCCAGGCAGTTCAAATAAATATAAGGATTTATTGCAAACTTAAACTCACTACAAGAATCTGAGTTACTAACGGTCAAAGCAAATTAGTTGTAGATAAGAGTGGAACTTAGATGTCTTGTGAGCCCAGTGAAACTTTTATCTCTTGTGAAGATGGAACTTAGATCTCTTGTGAGCATGGACTCGAGACAGATGATGCATTTGTCCCCTACCTCAGGCTCAGCCTGGTCGTCTCCTAAATCACCATTTTAATTTATCCTATTTTCTATGAAGAAAAAGCAGTAGAGCCTTAGATTATCAAATCCTGCTATTTGTGGAGTTCAGCCAGTAAGTGCACTTGTTGAGAGGGCAGTGGGGATCAGATTATTGCTTTCTGCCCCAGTGTTCTTTCAACCAGATCTCTGTCTGTTTGTCTATGGAGATTCTCAGTCATCCAGGTCATGGTTGTCCCAAAGGTGCTTTTTCAAGAGGCAACTGGACTTCCTTGTTTTTCTTTGAAGATGTTTCACCTTTCAGCCAAGAAGCTTCTTTAGCTCTGATTTTCAGCTCTCCACCATCAAGTCAGAGCTGAAGAAGCTTCTTAGATGAGAAACTAAAGGTCTTCAAAGAAAAACAAGAAAGTCCAGTTGCCTCTTGAAAAAGCACCTTTGGGATATCTCTGACTGATGTTCCTCTTGTTTTTTCTTTGGTCTCATTTTAAATTTTATAAAGCTCCAGTCTCAGATATTACAATTCTGTATTGCTAATTCACAAGAGTTGCTGCCCCCTCCTTCAAACGTCTTGTGTGTCCTCCAGATTGTTCTTTAGATGAACGTTCTGAACTATCATTTGGGGTATTAGAGTTAATATATATCATTATTAGTTTAAAGCCCATGGTGTCTTGCAAACTACAACAGCACAGCACGTAGTTGTTTTTTAAAAAAATTATACAGCATAAAGAAAATAGCAAGTTTGTTAGTAGTTCAAGAAGCAATTGACTAAGTAGTAATATATTACAGTTTCTTGACTTCTTAAACTTATCAATGGAATACTATTTGTATCATTCTGCAGCTCTCATTATGTTGATTTTAATCACGAAATCTGGAGTTTTACCAGAATATGTGAAAAATCTCTAATATAAGAATTGTGCATATGTAAGTACTGTGTCTTTGTACACATTACTTACATATGTACACTTCTGTGTAAAATAAACCACAAAGTATCCAAGATTAGAGAATCTTATTAATCTTATTAATATATGTAGTCATTTTAATTATGAGAATTTGATTATGTTCTCTTCTGTTTCGCTCCTTTTTGTCAGCTGTCTAATAGAAGTGGTTTAGAAGTGATAAGTGCCCCATTAATCTTTTTATTCTCTTTTTTGTTCATGAACCTGATCAACTATAACAGTTGCCTTTTCAAATGAGATTTTTACATTTATTTCATATTTCATTAATTGTCAGATTCAGAGGTGGGTCACTCCCAGTTTGGCCCGGTTTGGCTGAACTGGTAGTGGTGATGGTGGGAGGCTCCACCCACCCTCCGGACACTTCTGCGTGAGCACAAGTGAACCGGTAGTAAACCGGTTATCAACCCACCACTGGTCAGCTTATAAATCTGATAGAATGGAATTACTGTGATATCTTTCTGTAGCTTATTCTGCTTACTGTACAATAAATAGGACTGCAAGCAAATCAGTATTTATCCATTATTTGAAATAAATATAAATTGTATAGGAACACTTTTATCCCCAGTGACTCTTTTTTTAATGTCTGTTTAAAACAAGTTTCAGTATATCTATTTGAAACTACAACTAGGAGTAATTATTTTCATTGAAGGAATGCATTTAATTTCCAGAAAAGTGCATATATATTTGACGATAATTCTGAATGACATTTTTATTTTTACCTTTGAAAGATATTCATTTAAAGATGAAATTTATCAATGCTTATATTAAGTCAAACATTATTTTGAATACACGTGGGGTATTAAGGCTACTATGTTTTTTATTATTATGAAAACCTGCAGAACTAAAATTGAAAGACTATCTTGGTAATGTTTTGGCAAAAGTCCATAAATGACCTTTGAAAATTTGTTACCTGCATATTTTTCACTCTGCAATTCTCCTCCTCTAATTAACTAATTAACTCTAATTAACTAATCCTCTAAACTAATTCAGAAGAGGCTTACCATATACACACCTATCCTGCTTTAACAGAGAGGTCTTATTGAGACGTCTCCTGATTGTGCAAAACTTGATTCAGCTTCCCATAATCGCCAGCTATCTTTGACAAAAAACATTTGTGAAAAATATTGGTGAAAGACTGACCTGCCAATAATGTTCTTCACTTCATCAGTTTTCTAGCAAACAGTTGTTCCTCTTCACTTTTTTATATGTATATTTCAAATAGCTATATTTCTGTGTGCAACAGCTCTTAGTCAGAGAGGTTTATAGTCCTTATCGTTTTAAGAGCAAAGAATCAAATTTATATTAATTCAGGAATCAAAACTTTGTTCCTTCCATCCATCCATCTATCCACCACTGAATGATTCCGTTTACTCTCAGCTTAACTTAAGTATATATCTCTAACTAATATATAAATCACCCTATTGGAAATTCAGTAGTATACAGGGAAAATGTTCTCTTCTACTTAATATACAGTAAATAGACATTTATATTAACTGGGAGAGAAACATGAACATAATTTTAAAAATATGGTGGACACCGTATAATACTTTCTGTTGTGCATGCTATTTATCTAAAATAGAATTGGTACCTGCAAAGTAGGCAAGTAAAGTGTTCACCAGAATAACTGTGGTACTTCTACAATATCTGCAAAACGGAAAGGATGCATAAGGCAGCCTAATTATTAGAACTATTTTTAAAAAATTCAAAATATGGCATGGTATTTAAACTGATGAAACCTCCAGGACAGAATGGGGCATAACATGGATTTAAATTAAATTAAAACTCAAGAATTTTGCTTTGGCACTAGAGTATATATTCCATATATACTCCATATATACTCCATTATATACTAGTTGCCTTGAATCTTCAAATAAAAGAACAACATGGGATATTCATTCGTTAGTTCATTCATTCAATCAGTCAATCAATCAATATAGAAATAATCTGTTCTTAGGCATGTATATTTAATTGAGCAAATGACATGGCTCCATATTTCTAAAATGCATATAATTCCTTTTGTGCCAGTTTGTAGCTCTTTCTGTTTCATATAATATAAAGTTGAATTTACTGTTGAGTGGAAAAAACATATAATTGGATCGCAAATGGTTTCTGATTTAAGATAATTGGAGATTATTCTGAGAAATCTTCCTAGATATATCCTACTGAAATGTTACAAAATCTGACCTATGTAACGATTTGACAAAAAAAGCAATTTAACATTGCCTCTTATAGTTAGTGCTTTGCAGAATTAATCCTTCTTTTTACTTTTTACAGGACTGGTTTGCATGAAATCAAGCACCTCAGTGGTTGAACTTGTTATGCTTCTTTGTTCACAAGTAAGGTGATTCCTAGTTTTTACAAATACTACTTTCATTTTTTTTCCTTTGGAGAAATATACTTATTAGACGTAGAGATTATTAGACTGTATATTGAAAAAGTAACTATTTGACACTGTTATAGAGCTGGTATTATAAACTCCATTATAAAGACACCCTTATTTTTCTTTGTTTAAATAATCATTGAATATGACTTCAAGAAAATATGGTGCTATCCAATTGATAAAGCCTTAACAAAATAATACATAATTAAATATTTATAACTGATTTCAACAACAGAAAATTCAACATAGTGTGATGTCAGCAATTTATTAGAAATTATTAGCAATTTATTTATTTGGTTTGTAATCCTTTTTGACAACATTGCCTGAGAAAGCTAGTTAAAATAAGACATGACATCAGAAAATTTTGATATTGATAAATAGCAATGTATCACATAATAGACAATTGGAAGCATATGATTAAAACACATTGCAGATATGCACATGGATAGAAATAATGTGCACGATTGGGAATCATTGGGTCAATTCCTGTAGGACACGCATAACATATGTTCAGGAAAAATGACCATCTAAAGTATCAATCTGGAGATGTGACTTTGTTTTTATTCTAATGGATAACAAATCAAAAGGTAAGCATTACTCTCAAATGAAGTATCAGCTGTCATTTTAATTTGGTATATTATTTTTTGCAAATAATTTAATATCTGATTTGAATAGGGTTACTTCTTTCCACACTTTATATTCCCTTTAATAAACTTAATATAAAATAATATTTAAAGTGCTTATTCCTGGAAATATGCGAAATTCATAATAGCTGTATGCTTGCTATTAAAATGTAGATTCACATTTTAATAATAAAATTAAATTTGCAGAAGTTAACATGTACAGTGCTACCATAAATGAGAATTAAGTCTGAAATATGCTTACTCACATTTTGCTGATCCACAAACTGATTCTTCAAAACATCAAAAAAGAAAGAAAGAGAGAGAGAGAGAGAGAGAGAGAGAGAGAGAGAGAGAGAGAGAGAGAGGAGGACTTTTTCTAGCAGTCAAAAACATCTAAATAAAGATGTATATATTTGTAACTTTCATTGTGGTTGAGTTTCAAAACTTTTCTTGCAAAAAAACTTTTAAAACTTGTTATATAATAATTAAATCCTTGGTTCGAGAAAGTCCCAAATATTTAAGTCCACTGAATTCTCTCACAAAGCTGTTCATTGGTAGATGCTTAGACTGGACTAATACAATATATTCTTCCCTGCTCCTTGTTTTAACTGCAGCTCATAGAGATAAAGTGGGATGCTGCATTACAGCTTAGTGTGTTTTGATGGTCTCATCATCTAATCATAGGTTTAACATTACGCATTTGCTGGCTCCAGGAATTCCTGCCATTAAGGACTCTAGAGATGTAATGTGCCTCAAATATTGATTGTGGAAAGAGTGAGAAATTCAAGCTTCTTTGCTTTTTCACCTTCCCTTCATCCTTATATAGAATTTGTGCAATAAACAAAGCAATTGTTTTTAAATTTGAAATGTTATCCTGTAATATATATGTAGATAATATTTATATACATTCCAACTAAATACATTATTTTAAAGAAAGTCTTAGATAGACTTATAATAAACTTTCACTTTACTTCTACCCCCAAATATCAGATCAGATATTTTATTTGTAGTTTCACAAAATAAAGAAAATGCTCAATTTTTTAAATTCTAGAACTGTTTGGAGTCTACCATAGAACTGTACAGTGCTTCAGATTTGACCTCCAGATAGTGCTTAAAGTAATTATTCAAAAATGCAAGTGAATCAACTTACCTCAATACATTAAAATAGTTGTGTCTTTTTCCCAAGTTCACCTTATTCTCTTCCACAGCTGCCCCACAATCATGAGAATACTTTATTTAAAGTGTTGTACTCTGTTAAGAGGAAATCCTCTCAGTGTTTCAAATGATGTTAATGAATTCTCTTATTAAGAAGAGGAAGATTCAACAGATTTTTTAATAAGGACATAAAATGCTTAGCTATTTTCTAGAAGTTGAAAATAAAAGTTGAGAATTGACCATCACCCGAAGAAGGAATTCTTAGTTGATTAAAAATATAACAAGAAAAATAATATTTTAAGTTGATGCATATGTGTTGTAACAATATTTTTTTAAATTATGTCTTTTCCAACACATAAAATATTAGTAGTAGAAGCAGTATACATCTAGTAGAACTTTCACTTTCACACATACAGCTCATTACCTTTTTCTAATGATTTTATTGTTCTTCATGAAATATGAAGCCGTATCATACAATCATTTTATGGCTTCACTTCTAGTTATGATATAGAGAGCCAAGTTGGCTCTCTTCCAACATCCTGTCCTCCTTGTCCTGGAGGCCAAGGGTAATTGGAACATACTTTGGACATAATCTAATCCATTTTTTTTCTCAGCTGGTGGTACACAGAAGCAGTCTATCTGGGAAATAGGCTACTTGTTTAGAATGATGGTAGCTGGTAGAAAAAAACCTGCATTATTTCATTCTGTGGACAGGAAAGGAGGTTCTTAAAATGTTTTACTTTTGAGGATGAAACGGTAAATATATAGTGGAACAGAAAAGTAGTTAAGGATGAACTGCATGAAACATACATGTAAATTGGAATACAGCCAGCTGTATGAATAATGCTCAATCTGTAATATAGACAGATTCTTCTTTTTACAAGAAAGAGGTAAGACATCCCCATTGGGTTTCAGATATTACAGAGATACTGTCCCATGCTCCCACATTGATTATTTTTTTGAATAGCCTATCATAACCAAGTTGCCAGTCCCAATTGTGGTCACTAAATGACATGTATGTCTATAAAAAATATTTCACGAGACCAGTGTAATCATTTGTAAAAGCAGTAGTAGTAACGAATGTTAGCTATTAAAATAAGAGCAAAACAAAGCTAGAGGCGTTAAAAAACCTGATATTTTTCTAACATTAGATTTCATATTAAAACATTTCATTGAGGTTTTAACTTTATATTTTTAATCTTCTGAATATTCAATGGGCTTTTCTGTGGTTTGATTCTATAGTTTTTCAGTCCTACTGACTGAAGCCTGTTTAATCATTACTTTCAGTAAAAGAATGTATTTTTGTGCCAGCTCCCTAGTTTTTTGTATATTCTCCCTAGAACTGAAGTTTCCTCCAAGCATCTTGGGGCATTTGGAAAAATAACTATTGTAGGGAGAAAGGAAGATAAGTAAAATATCATCTCTATTTTCATTGAGGAAAATTTCCTGTGTAAGAAAAAAGCCTTTTGTTGGTAGAGAAACACAATGCCTACAATTCACAGTGTTATTCCCCCCTCACCCCAAATACTGGTGATACATTTGAGATTTTGATTTTTTTTTGTTCAAAATTAATTGCACTTTGCAATCTGTGTTAGCGGTCTGTTTTGAAGATAAATGTATCTTCAAAAAGATAGATGATTGAGAAGGCTTTTGAAGACGTTTATTTACATAAACTAGGGTAATAGTAGACATTGAAAAGGAAAGGGAAATGCAAAGTTTGTTTTCTTTTCATTTGCTACAGCAAATTAGATGCTTTTATGCTCTTTATTTGGAAATTCCATGTTAACGACTACAGATTAGCAAGGATGTCATTTTTTTTCTTATCTGAGCTCCTGAGTAAACTTAACATTGCCAGCGGCTCATGTCCAAGGTATGGTCTAAATTTACATGAAATATCACATTACAAACGTCTGAAGGTACATGTCATGGATAATTCAGTTCATATGGGCAGGTTTTTAGACTCTGAAGGATATGCAATCAAGACTGTCCCCAGAGGAATTATGTCTTTGTGAAAAATTTGCTTTAAGCTTTACAGGAACTCCTATAGGGATACTGCATTATTCGACACTGAGAAACCACTTTTACTATTGTCCTTTTACAATAGTTTTCTTTTATGTGTACTAACCCTCTGCATTTCCCAAATATGATCCTGATACTTGGATTGATTTGATCTGCAACATCCTTACAAAATTTATAATAAATAACCACATATTCAATACACTTTAATTGGGTTAATTTTCAGGAGTGGGTGAGATTAAGATGGTGATTTTGACAATATCTGTCCTTTATTAACTAGTCTTTGTTTGCTAGTTTTATATGCCACAGCTGTGGTACAGTTTTGTAGTAGATTTCTCAAACAAACCATGACATTTTCCCCAAAGTTTGGTTTTCCTTTTTAAAAGGATATTTGATATTCATTAATATTTCTTTTCTTTTTTGCTTCAGGAACTATAATAGATTCTAAGTATTTCCAGATTGTTGTAAAAAATTTCTGTTCAGAGTAGTAATATATTCAAATATAATTATGCTATTTCAAATGGGTCTTCATCTTTCCATTGTAAATAACAACATTAAAATAAAACATTTTTCTCTATTAGACCCATTAGTGGCAGAAATAAAGTATCAGGCTTAAATATAATAATTGTTTAATATAGCAGATGCTAAAGTATAGAAACTGCTCCTTGATTCTGTTTGGAGATGCTAAAATACATTTTCAACATTTATGTCTCTTCTGATTAATTGCAGTTCCAATTTTAGAATAAGTTTACTTTCATATATACTATAAGATCACTTTTGAAATGTTACTTGGATATTTAAGAAGTGTTTGATTGCTAATAAAAAAAATAGATAAGAATTGCTATGAGATTCATTTGAAGAGAATATAAAAGAATTCTACTGTACTATATTTTTGAACTCTTATTCTAAAGCGGAGGATAATACTTAAAAGAAATACCCATATAATAATCTGTTTGGATAGTAATATTAATATGATATATTGACTCAATAATACATTGAGTAAATTTAAGACAGGTACTGCTTTTTAAAAAGTTATTCAAGGTTATCTTAATTAATCTTAAATTAAAAATAAATAATTCCTACCCCAAACTAATAACAGATCTATAAAGTCCTTCCATGTAGTCGTAAAGGCATATAACTAACAGAAGTCATTTTCTTACAGCATCGATATTCAAGAGAGCTTCAGAGTTAAAACTTGACTGTGTTCTTGTTTATAGTGTTGCTACTTAATATTCCAATATGATGGAAGAAGACAATGCTTTATGATAGCTTGTATTGTTATGCCTGCTGCATTTTTTCCCTCTGACCTAATCGTTATGCTTCATGCATCCGGATTAGATTACTGTGAGGCATGGTATATAATAGTCTTAGAAACGTCAGTTAATTCCGAAATGGGCAGCAACCAATTAATCCAACCTTTAGGCACCATTTGTACTGTTTTAAGCAATGCAACTATTAGTTGACATTTGTACCAAACACAGAGATTTTAATGAATTGCATGCTGAATAGTTCAACTCCCCTCCCCCTTTTTTGCATCATAGTATCTCAAGAATTGTTCTGAGATAAAACCAGTAACCAGGGTGGGCATCCCAAGAGCCACATGCAATACTTACAGACCCCAGCAGCTATGCTGAGCTTGCAACCGATTCCATCATCCCTATCCAGAGAAGAAGTTTACCACATCCAGATCTCAAGATACTATCAAATGAGGGGAAGACAAAGTTAATTAATTAATTATTTTACAAATCTAAAGCATCTTACATTAAAAATAGAAATATAATATTTAAAATTAGTATAACAATCTAAATAATGAAAACATTCAATCACTACATGACAGATATAAAAATTAAAACATAGAAGGAATTTAAAATACATATGTGACATTATATAGCATTGAGGCCCAGAAAATAGTGACCTGAGTAGCTTTATTATTGGCCAAGAACATTAGGAATGATCCATCAAGATTATGGCATTTCAATAAGTGTTTAAGACAAGGGAGAGAGAGAAATAGGAGAAGCTTCCTGGAAAAACAAAATGTTTTCAAAGGACAAAAAAACCCAAGAAAGTGCTTGGAAAAAGTACCTTTGAGACAATCTGATTGTAGAAAACCAATCAAATATGAACCGTTGACTATCTTGTAACCTTCTCCACCTCCATTCCCCCAAGACTTCCAGTCTATCATTTTCTTGATTCCTCTCAACTCTTGGCTAGGTGGTTCCATATAAGTGGGATTTGTAACTCTTGTGGTTAAAAAAAGAGAAAGAAATAAGTATCTGACATTTCATTGTGACTTTCCTTTGGACTACCCTATTTACTTGATCTTTGGACGGTGAACTTGCTTTTGGTTCTAACCTTGGACTATATTTATGGCCATGAAATTAGTTTGACATATTTAGTATGCTAATAACCCAGATAAGAAGCTGCTGTTCATGAGGCCAGGACACACATAAACCTATCTGTCAGGATGAATTGCAATGATGGAACTGGCTCCTGATCTATTAGTATCTTGTTCCTTACTCTGTTTTAAGTGACGATGTGGGGAAAAATACAATAGGTGGAAATGACATACCGTATTTGAAATACTTTGCAAATGTCATTGGATGTTAGCAGATTAGTTAAAAACATGGAATCAAACTCTACCTGAATCACATATATTCTGCTATATTCTCCAGTTTATTGTACAGTAATCATTCTATCTCTGCAAACAGAAATAGTCTTGATGTTAAGACAGCGTGAGCTAGCAGGAACTAGGGTTATTCTTTTTTTTTTTTAAAATTCAACACAAAGAAATATGCACTGTTTTGTATGTTCTGCCTTAAGAACTTGAGATAATTGCATTGCTCTATTGTTTTTCATAATATGCCCAAAATCTATTGAAATACTTTTGGGAGAAATTAAAAATATGGTTAGAAAAACCCATGTTATGGCTAGTTTTCTAGATGAATTCTTCAGAAAAGATTGACCAATTGACTAAGATAAGAGTTTTTAACCTCTGCATTAAAAAGAGCTAGATGAAGAACAATTATTGTCGCATCCTTACTAGAAATCTATTTAAGAGGATTTAGGATCTTATGTCAATATCTATAATTCTATGAGCTGGTTTATTAATAAACCAAGTTGGCTTATGTGTTCCATTTTCATGTGTTTCTCTCGTGGGTTACAATAAGAAAATCAGAACATTCCAGTTCCCTTTTAAATTAACCACAATTTAGACATCATCTGAATCCTTAGCTTAAATTTAGGTTAAGTTTAAGTATGATAAGTTGGCTTGTTTGTACCAACTACCATATTTTTTGGAGTATAAGATGCACCCTTTTCCCTCAAAAAAGAGGCTGAAAATCTGGGTGCATCTTCTACACTGAATACAGCATTTTTTTGCCTCCTGAAACCAAAATGGTTCTGCAGAGCCTTTAGGAGGCTTCCAGAGTGCTCCTGAGGGCTGGGGAGGGCAGAATTGAGCAAAAAACAGGCTGCTTTTTGCCCCCCAGCCCCCAGGAGCACTCTCTAAGCCTCCTAAAGGTTATGCATGCCCTTTTTTTGACAAAAAATGTGCCCGTTTTTGTGAAAAATTGGCCATTTTTTGCTTGTTTTTGCTCCCCACCACCACCCAGGAGCACTCTACAGGCTCCTGAAGGCTATTCATGCCCTTTTTTTTTTTTGAAAAAACAGTCCGTTTGTGAAAACGGGCCATTTTGGGGAGGTCTGCAGAATGCAAAAACTTTTTTTTAATTTGCCTCTTCAAAATCTTGGTCTTATACTCTGGTGCATCTTATACTTCAAAAAATATGGTATGTGGCAACTCTTTGTTGGACTCAATGGCATGACTAGCTTGCAAATCTCTACTGACTTTAGACATTAGAGAATGACTCATAGCACTAAATTATAATTAAACTAATCTCATATGTTATAGTTCTCTTTTAAACAGTTATTAGAAAGGAAAGCAGTTAAGGAGAAAAAAATATGTTTCTTAAAGAAAATAGATATCCAGATATGTCTCCTCTGCTTTACAAAGCCAGCAAGAAGCCAGCAAAATATCTATTGAATCAAGATGGCAGGGAGACAAAGCTTAGAGTTTTAATATTAGATCGTAGTTGTACATATAAGGCCTGCCTTTCTCAGCTTTATAGTCTATACTCTAGATAAGTTATATTTGACAGTCTTCTACCAAGTTCTGAGGAAGAGATTACATCTTGAAAGAACCACTATCTACTGTCAAGCCTGGTTATGGAAACTGAGTAGAATGTAATTTCATCATTTTTAGAATTTCATCCACAACTGAACTATAAAAACATACAATAAAATATATTTATTTTCTAAAATTTTATAAAATGTATAGTTTAAAATGTTATTATTTGAAAATTCATCAGCAAAGGTTATTTTTTAATGATGATCAAAAGAAAATTTCACAAGTGGGTCTATTATTTTCGATTTAGATATCTGATGCCCTTGAACAATGCACAGTACTGTATTACATTTCAATAAACTATAGTGCCTATAAAAATAATGTAAATCAAAGTTCTGAATATTTTAAATTGATAAAAATAATTACATTTTCAGAAGAATTGACACTTTCTAAAATTTAGTGTTTTTCCCCCTCTCTTTTAGGAATGGCAAAATTCTATTCAGAAGAATGCTGGACTTGCTTTTATTGAGCTCATCAATGAAGGAAGGTAATTAATTTAAAATCTTTGGACCAGTAGTCATTTTGTATTTAATGTCATTAGACAATATCTTCACCATCTGCTACAAAAATACCAGAGAATGAAATATTTTAATTAAACAGTTTTACAGTAGAGATGTTTGGCATAAAACACTCAATTTGTTTATACATGAAATGTTGAAACAATGAACTCTATGTTTATTTTTTTAGAATACCTATGCAATAGTTATAAGATTTATGTGAGAACTAAACATCATCTTACAAGGGCAGCACAGGTTTTTTTTCCCCAGACAGATTCTGCGTAACCCAATCTATAATCCATCTGTCACTCCATCTGCCTTGGAGCATCCTGTTCATAGTGTTTTTATGCATTAAGGAGGAAGTGCTATTTTTATCATAATTCCCAATGCTATTTTCAGGTATTTTAACATCAGATATAAATTTTATGTGTGCTATGGTATTATGGAAAGAGTTAATGTTCTGGATGAAATCTAGTTCTGTTAGTTTTGTTCATAATACTGTAACAGTATACATAGTAAGTTTAGTATTTTTAGGAAAAAATAAAATTATATTTTTTAAGCTCAAGAACTATTTAAATATTAGTAATTATTTACAGCATTTTTGTTTTTGAATGAAGAAGTAATATAGCTTTCCCATGCTAATCTATATGAATGAAGTACTAATATTTGTAGTAGAAATCAGTAGCCACAGCTGAAGTTAACATCATTAAGAATATTTGGATATAGAATATAGATTAATTAAAAAAGAAATGTGTTTTTCTTGTTCCTAAAATGTAATCGCTTCTAACGTTTGTTATATAGACATTTTTTCTGACTATAGCGGAATTTATGTTAGAAGACCTGATTACAGTTTTATAGGCACTGAACAAATCTCAGATTTGTGTTCCTTCTTTAAAATGCTAATAGTGTTCTTCCACTGATCAAACAATAATTACAGCAATAATCATTGATTTTTCTACATACATTCCTCTATATTTATATGTATATCTACAAATATCCTCTATATCAATTACTACTATATATATCATCTATATCTATACTTCTCTATAGATATCTAGATATGGTTATGTATCTCATTTATGTGCATTGTTAAAATTATTCTTTTTTAACATCTTTTTAAAATTCATCAATTTTATTTTACTCTGCAAAAAGCAAATTGTTATAAATATTATTCTTCTTAATAGGTAAAGTGTGAATGCTATTCATCAATCATAGCTAGAGAATGCAATTGTGCTGTTGTCAACAATTAACAGGACATAAACAGTTGATGAATGTGTACTTGAATTAAAGTGCTCCCTTAAACAGCCTGAAATTATAAAGCAGATCATTTATAGGAATCTAACAAAGGAGCTTTATAATTAAAACAAAACAAGCTTAATGGATTGTAAAATTGCTTATAATTACTATACATTTATGATTGAATTTTAAATTGTGGATCGAAGAACAGTGCAAAAGAATTTGAGAACTAGAGAACTTACATTTTTCTTTTTAAAATACTGAAAGAAGTTCCATAATTCATGATGATTCTTGGGAAAAAAAAGTTTTATTAAACACAATTAAAATTAAATTAATTAACACACTCAGCAGTGTGTTTAATAAAATTAATTAAAGATGGGAAGCCTTACAAATCTTTTTAAATAAATAAGTAAATATAAATAGATACAATTAAATTAAAAGTCATTACGAAGAATGCCAATAATAAATAGGTTAAAACTTACAATTAAATATAAAATCACTTCCATGGCTAGCCTAAAAAACAAGTGTTTTATTTGTCTCCAGAGTTCAGAAGTATGCATAATGCAATTTCTTTAATGCAAGTCTCAATACTGTTTTAAAATTGCTCTCCATTTTCAGTTTCAAAACGATACTGTCATGTATAATGAGAGTCAGTTTGGTCTAGTAATTAAGGCATTGGGCTAGAAACTGGATATTCTAGTCCCAAGTCTTAGGAAAAAGGCAAAGACTTGCCAAGAAAACTGCAGGAATCTGTCTTAACAGCCACCAGGAGTCAACATTGACCCAAAGGAACACATACAAACATACAGTATATCGTGGGACACTGCACTTTGACCAAAGCACATTTCCAAATCTTCCTGTGTGAGAGTGTGAGCAAGGTGTGTAGTTTCACAGCTTAAGACTTTTATGAACAGATAAATAATGCTAATCAACGTGGATGATTAAAATGTAAAGGACTATTTATAATGCAGTCCTACAAGAAAGGAAGTCTCTCAAAATTCAGTGATCTTTACTCAGAACTCTAAGATGTCACCAGGTTTAGACTTTGGGGAAAGGAAGAGCCTAAATGAAAGCTAGATTTCAGGTTTTGAGGATATCTCTGTCCCTGATGAGAATAGGAGGAACAGCTGGGGAGTGAGTGAGAAGCCAAGTACATAATGTGTATTTTGTTGAGCAGGAGAAATTCAGGAAAGCTCTGAAGACATGCCTGTTCCATCTTGCAAAGGAGAGACTACTCTTTGACTGAAAGAGGGATTGCTGATGTGTGGTATCTGTATTCTTGGCATTTATCTTTTTTTATCCTTCCATATTAAAGTGGCCTTTTTCTGGCTTTGCAGTGCTTTATTTGAAACTGAGAAAACACAGGCATTTTCTTTCACGGTAAAGGATTGGAATTGTTCTGTGTTTTCTCATCAGCAAATAGTAGTACTAAGATCAGAGCTCAAGCAAAACATTTGTTTTTGAGACAGTAGCTAAAAATGAAGCAGCAGCAGCAATAGCAGCAGTCACCTGGCACCTGGAGAAGAGAAAAAAAGAAAATAGAAAAATATCCATACCAATTTCATCTCTGCTTGCTTTGAGCTATAAGGTCCACGGAAAGAATTGCAAGTTCATATAGTCAAAATTGTTGCTGCATTTTAAAGTGGAATTCCTGTCAGCATTATTTGGAACTTAGTTTTCCTTGTTCTGGTTACCAGAATTTATAGGATCTTTAAATGCTGCCAAAATATATAAATACAATGGTATTTTCCAATTAAATACCAGTTAACACAAGTAAAATACAGAACAAATATAGATAATTTCTTCGTGGAATAAATACAACAAATGTAATTATTTTAGATGTGCAAATCAGTAATTCAATTCAAAATATAAAATAAAGAATAGATGCAAAGTAAAAGGGAGACATAAACATTCCCTTTAAAAAGATGTAAGACTGGTAAAGCTCCAATTTCATGACAGAAATCCTTGCTGCAGACCTAAGAGAGAGATCAAAAGATTGCCTTTCCTAAATACCCAGTTGGGCTAATATAGAAAATAGTTGGAGAGCGCAGGTAAATTCAATTTAAGTTGCAGTATAATAAAAAAAATCACAAATGGATGACTGCAACACCCCAAGATACACAGAAGCTTATCATTTTGAAAATAACTGGGAACTTAGCACTTTTGCTCTGTCAGAAAAAACAAGAAAAATATTCTGTCTGGTTTACAGGAATTTTATCTTTCTGAAACTACCAACACTGTTATAAATAGGGTGATTTGGGAGTTCATTATCTAAGTGTATAGTATCTACAGGTTTCTTTGGAAAGTTTGATAAAAAGAACAGCAGTTTCTTTCTTCACTTCATTCTGCTTGGTTAAGTTTATAGGATTACCCAAATAGTAGGCGGGTGAATGTGCATTTGTGGGCCTAATATTAGTTATATAAGTCTAAAAGTCACAAAAAAGAAAGTATAGTCTGAATCATGACATAACTGTTTTTAGCCCACTATAACAAAAATACTTAATAGAAGAATGATGATATTTTGTGGAAAATCAAAAATTAAATATTCAAAACTAGCTTAGGTTGATTAACCTGGTACCTGAGAAATTCACTGTGTGACTGAAATAGCACATGACTAAGAATAAAGTCATTCTTGAAGACATGTTTATCACACCTCTGGTATTCAGAAAGCTGCACAAATTTGATGAAGATTTGAAAGCATTCATTCTTTCCCTTTCCAGAAAGAACATTCAGATATTTAGTGAGAAATTACTTTTTAAACCTCAAGCCTCACACTTAGAATCAGTTGTTTTATTTTATTTTTTTCTGTCTGAAGATAACTTCAGACAGAAGTCTGAGCTTTTCTCTGCAAAGCTGTATTAAATTATTTGGATATAAGTATTCTTCTACATCATCAAGTTCATTAAAACTAGGAATTTTATTATAAAGATTTCTGGAAGACACCTTACAATTCATGTATCAAAACTAATTTGATAGTAACATACAGTATCTGAGATCCTCTTGATTAAAAAAAATGCAACTGAATGATTTGCTTTTCTGACTTTGTCAGAAATCAGAAACATTCCATTAGGAACTAGAATGATTCATTGTAATAGCCAGTATACCTTATGAAAAGAAAACTCCAACTAGAAGACATTTTTTTAATCCACAAAGTATCTCCAAAACTATTTGCACTTGAAGAAGCAATATAAAAAATAATTTTTTTTAAAGAGTTATTGTTTAAAATCTGCTGAAGTCTGTGATAACATGTTTATTGTATTTAGTTACATCAGGCATACTTTAATATTAACTCTTATACGACAACCAAGTAATAGTGTTTATTTAAAAAAATAAAGAATAATTTGTTGATTAGATTATGTTTTTTACGTATGTGGGCTTTTCACAAAGTTTTTAACTCAATTTGTCACTAATGAGCCTGAATTTAAATTAGGAAACTAAAACAGTGTTCTTTTGGATTAGTGGGAATATTTAGAAGTTTGAGAGTGTCTTTTTGGGACTATCACATAATGGTTATCATGACTGATGTGGCCACTTAGAAAAGTAATGGATTTCAGCCAGCCAACATCTAAAAATGTTTCTTGGATCTCACTAGGACCCAAATGCATTATTGATAATACAGTTTATTTTCAGGCAGAAGCTTTGCTTTCTACATGCTATCTTCCCATATTCTTTTTTCAATACTTTCCTAAAAAGTAAAATTGGGGGAAGGGAGAGATCTTGATCAGGGTCAAGCAATACACTAGTGCATGGACTCAAACTGGTGGCCTGCAGACCAGATGCATCATGTACAGATTATGCCCAGCTTGGCTCCACAAAGGCAAAAAAGTCACTGAACGTTACGTGACATGATCGAGTTTGACACACATGCACTAGTGGGCCATTTTCACTAATATGTTATTTTACAAGCCCAGGTTGCTTGCTTGAGTTAAAAATTGCAGAGGAAACTTATAAACTTTATAAAATTAGGCCATTAGGATGAATGTTGATGAAAAATTGCTTTGGAGTTTTGACAAAACAAATAATTAATAAATTATTTTTTCTTAATGAAACAAATGAATTGGCGATTAATGCAAAGTATCATGTCTGAGATCAATTTACTTTTTCCTCTAGATTATTGTGTCATGCAATGAAGGATCACATTGTAAGAGTTGCAAATGAGGCAGAGTTTATTTTGAACAGACAAAGAGCTGAAGATGTACACAAACATGCAGAATTTGAGGTAAGCTTCAGTTGTTGAAACATAGAATTTCTGTTTTCACCTAACTTGTCATCATCCGAAAAATAAATTTTGAAAAGAAAACTTAGATTGTTGTTATTCAAAATGTATATTCATTTTTAATAGAAATGATATATTTAAACTCTGTAGAAACAAATAGTATTATAATCAGAAACTTTTTAATTCACATTTTTAAAAGTTTTAGTATTGTTCTGGTACTGCTGATGTAGATTACCAATTCCATTACAGTTAAAATTTATTATTAGGATTGTCTGAAATTTCTGCTGTGCTACATTGATTATTTTTACCAGTAACACATGATGGTGAACATATCTAACATACCTTTCTCCTCCTATTCTCCACACAATAACCCTAGGAGATTACTTGAGCTATGAGAAAGTGACTGGCCCAAAGTCACTCAGCCAGTTTTTCATGGCTAAGGTGGGAATAGAATGTTTTTATTGGAAAGGATGAGCAGAGAATTACAGAAGCATATACTTAGAATATATATTCTCAAAAGTGTGTGTGTGTGTGTGTGTGTGTGTACTCTTACATACTCTCAATAGAGTCATACAAAGTGTGAAGGTGGACTTCCAGCGCCTTCGGAGGCCTAATTCATGAATTCTAAGGTCAGTTCCGATATCTTCTTATTGGCAAGTCCAAATTCGGACTATAGCCATTCTAAAGGAGTGGCGAAGCAAAGGTGGACTGCCTAGCAGGTAGAAGGGAGACGCATCTCCCCCCTGACTAGGAAAGCCCCCTCAGTCGACAACAGGGAGCAGCAGCAGCAAACATGGCTGCCTTGAAGCCGAAGACAGCCTGAAAACCTAAGACTGTGTAGGAGTAGAGAAAGTGAATGGCTTGTGAACTGGGTAAGAGACTATTTTGTATTGAAAAGTGACCCCAAGAAATTCAAGGGGGAAGCAAATTGGAACTATTGGCTAGCAGCGGGAAAAGCACATTAAAAAATCAGAATATTTAAGAAGAGAAGTTTTTTGAAAGAAAACTAAGGGGAAAAAATGAACTCTCAAAGTGAAGACATGGTATTGAAAAGGTATTTTAAAAAATACTGGAATTAGAACTGGAGCTTTTTTTATTATTATAAATGTTACCCTCCTGGATTTACAAATTTAAAATAATTAAAATCAGCACTATGCAGAGAGGCAGTACAAGCTGAAGTTTGAGCACCATCTGTTGTTAAAAGGAGAACTGTGCAACTTTGGGTCCTTTTGCATTGTTGAATTATAAAAATTACTGGAGACATATAATAAACAAGACCTTTAGTCAAGTGACCCTGAATATTGTTGAGCAAATCAAAGTGATTGGAAGAGGCGTGGACAACTGGCTTCTTTTCTTAAATTGGATTGATTGTAAAATGTAAGCAAGTGGAGACAATGAAATGGAGCTGATGTACCAAGACATTAAGGATTTTATAAAAGAACAACACAAGGAGATGAAGGAAATATTTTGTTGTATAGAATGTATAGATAAAAAACTAGAAAATATAATACAAGGAACAACAATAAAGAACAGGACAATGAGGAAAAAATGGGATCATCAGAAAGAGCAAAAAAGACAGCAGAATCGGGAAATCAACAAGAAAAAGGCAACAACAAGAAGATACTAATACAATTGATGGTGAATAAGAGAGTAGAACAGAAGGGAAATACTTTAAAAGATGTGAAAAGGAAATAGGAGAAACAGGAGACAGCTGGAGAGAAGAAAAGGGGGTTTGGAAATTGAACTCTCAAAGTGAAGACACCCAGAAATCAAACCATTCACGCAATGAGATGTATAAAAATAAAAAATAAAAAACGTTTTTTTTAAAAAAGGTGTGAAGGTCATCCTGGCTGCCTGCTTCAGTCAAGTATGCATCTAAATTGGGCACCGGTTATGTAAGAGAATGTTAGGGGTGGAAGATACAGAAAAAGAATCATTTTATAGTATGTGGCAAAAAAGTTGCTCCTGTATTTTACCAAGAAAACCACATTAATGGAAATGCTGGCTTCCTACTGAGGAAAAACTGAGGATCTTTTGGAATATAATGGTGTTTATGATGCGGGTAGTTTAAAATCTTCCAGATGTCTATTGCTGAGATTTCCATGTAGGAAAAGAAATTCAAAAGATGCAAAGATAGAATTACAGTGGGAACATGAAATATAAGCATAAACTTGAGAAAGTTCAACATAATGAAGGGTGAAATGAATTGAATACACATTGACATCTTAGACACTAGCAAATTGAAATGTATATTGGATACTTCCAGTATTCCACTGTTTACTACTCAGGACATGAACAACAAGGAACAGTATATTCAGCAAGGGCATAGAAAGAATAGTATTTGGCTAAAATGCTATCAATGATTGAACAGTAACAATTAGACCTGATGGGCAATCCTGTAATATGACAGTTATTCACATTTATGCTCAAACCAATGATACAGAAGAACAAGACGTTGATTAGTTTTATGAACAAATTCAAGCTTAAATTGACAGAACATTTGAACAAGAATAGCAAAGTTAGAAATATAAGGGAGGAATCTTTTCAGACACTGCTAAAACCCAAGAGAGAGAACCAGCGAACTGGATGTTAGAACAAACTATGGAAATTGCCAAGAAGAAAGGAGATATTAAAGCCAAGAAAGACAAGGAAAGAACAAACAATTTCAGGGAGCTCTTAAAGAAAAAGAAGCAGTATTACAATAACTTCTGTAATGACACTGAAGATGGAAACAGATACAGAAAAATGAGACAAGTTTCTCAAAAGATTTCTGAACCCAGAAAGGGATTTCAACTTCAAATTGACAATAATGGATTGATAGTAACTAATTCAAAGGAGATTAAAGAAAGACAGAAGAATACTGAAATAGTATGTAATAGAAATTTCAAAATTTTAAATATGTTAGAAGATATTCCTTATTTACAAGAACTTCTCATACTTAAAGTTGAAGTTAGGTTGTTAGCACTTTCATCATTACCAAATTGGAAGGCTGCAGGAATTGATGAATAGCCACAGAAAGAAAGAAGAAGAAAGATCTTAATCAAACTATGCCAGCAATTCAGTAGGATGAGACTGGGCCCAACAGACTGGAGGAGATAAATCTGCATTCCAGTATCAAGGAAAGAATATTCAACAGAGGGTGCAAACTATTCTACAATATCCTTTATTTCACATCTTGATCAAATAATGCTTAATGTTTATCTCTAACATTGTTTAGATTCCTATGTGGAAAAGGAGATGCCAGATGTTCAAGCTTTAGAAAAGATTGAGGAAGAACATATCATTATGAATGCACACTGAATAATTGAATAAATTGCAAAATATCCCCAAAACAGTATGCATTTCATTAATTTCAGGAAGACTTTTAGTTTGTTGATTATGCCAAGCTGTGGAATATGCTTTTTGCTCATCGGGGTAAATGATGTATAAAGATTGTTCAAGGTAAACAAGTTGCTTTTTTGCCATAATAGTTTCTGAGATGCTAAGCAATAATCCTGACAAACTCAAAATGATATGCAGGAACCACATTCAGAGCTATATGCCTGAGATCATTTTCTGTCCTCCACAGGATTCTTAAATAGTTCACATAGACACATATCACTCAGACTTCAACTGGGAAAGTCTAAATGAGATCCCTGGAACTGTGAGCTTAACTGGACTTAATTTGATCCCGTGACTCATGATTTTGTGATTCCTAATCCACCCATCCCTTTTGGTTAAAGCTTTCGCCCTGTATGACTGCACTGATTGATAGTTTCCCGAATTATTAAAATATGCTATCAATCTAATGTCTTATAATAGAGGTTTTTAATATGAAAACAGCAAAAAAATCTCTTTTCCACAGCAGACAATATCACCTTTTCACAAGGTTCTCAATGTTTGAAAAAAATAGGAGCTGAATCTAAGTTAAGTTTTTTGAAACTAGGTCTGTTTGAAAGGAATAGGATAATTGTAACAACTGATTTCAATGGCAACAATGCATTTTTTGTTTATATTTCTATATTACTTTTTAAGCATATCCTGTTGATTTGTAGATATACCTATCTGGGTAACTTAATCTGGAATGGAAGAATCAGCAGCATTCCAATATACTATCTCTCCTGTACAATTGTGTTGGGTTTTTTTTTTCTGGAAAGTTTTTCCCTACTGTATCTGGATTAATTTGTTTTCAAATTCGTTTTCTGCATCTCTCCATCACATCAATTTTAGTCTGATTCCATTGGACTGTAAAGAAAATTTAAAAATGCATAATTGTATTTAAATGCCCATGATTAAGGTTTGGATAGAAATGAGTGTGTGTGTGTGTGTGTGTGTGTGTGTGTGTGTGTGTGTGTGTATTCATTCACTCATACACTCACCTCACTATAAACCTTACTATAGATTCTTGCCTATTCATCCTTGGGAGTTGGCACAACATATACAGTATTGTATTTTGTTGTCTTTCCTCTTTTGTATTATATTCTATAAGTTCTGCCAAATAACAGTTTATCATGATTGGTAGGATGGAAGAACTGTCTGTCTGTTTCTTTTGCTATTACTTGAACTACAAGTCAGTCTTGCTACTTTCATTTTTTTGGCTCAGATTAAAAACAGATCTTTGACTTACATTTCATATGTGTATGTATATGTATATATGTATTTGTGCATTCGTATATACACACATACACACACCATACATTGCATTGCAAACTTAGAATCTTATCAAACATATTCTAAATATTTTGACTTTAAATTTTAAATATCACATTTGCAATTAAGTGTCTGTCACACTGAAGTTTCATACAGCTTCAGTGGTAAATAACATTTGATATTTATCAGAGCATTCTGCAGTAAACTTAAGATGACAGTAGAAGATTGAGTTATCTGCCCTTTGAAGAATTTATTGCAGTATAAGATCTGTCAGAAACGTAGACAAAATGAGAATATTCAATTAGATTCCAGCTTCAGTTAGCAAATACAATTTAGAATATTAACCAAATTCCCTTAAGGGGGAATCTTAAGTC